AAAAAAAAAAAAAAAAAAAAAAGAATATTGATACTTAAGAGACAGGTGTGGTTACCAGGTGTGGAGCCAATGAGAAGGATGTTATACCATCGCTTTTCATTCATATATTTTAGGTGAGGAGAACTTAGGACCCAAGGAGAAACATCAGATTGGTCTTTCCTGACTCTATCATAGGAATGTACAATATATCAGTAGCACAGTTTCAAGATGAGGTGTAAGACTCCCTAACATAATCCTAAGAATTTCTGAAAAGATTTTAGGGACGGAAGCTCCAGAAAACTCTGCACAGGTAACAGCCCCACAGAGGATGTACAGATTCTTCAGCAGTGGTGAGGAACACGGCAAAATGCAGGCCACAGTCTGCCTCGGGCATCACAAATCCTTTGTGAGAATGACAGGTTGGAAATATTAGGGGCTGCTGCTATTGTGTAACTGAAGTGTGTGTATTCCCCACTCTTGCCAGGTGGAGTAACAACATCTTCTGAGGCAGCAGGGGATTGATTACTGCATCCACGAGTTGAGAGACAAACCGATCTCAAGTACCCCAACATCTCCATAATACTGTCATAAGAAAAAACAAGTTGTAGAAGACTAACCTAGAAAGGTTGGGCATTTTTAATTTTTAAATTGTATTACAATACACTAAAACTTACAGTGGGTTTCTTTTTTACCCCCCAATTTTAAGAACACTGATATGTTCATTGTAATAACTGTTAACAGGCTTTATGCAAATGACACAATAATGCTTATTCACACAAGAGATTACTGTCATTACAGGTAGTTAATTTTAAAGGAAAAAATGCAGAAATTTCATAATCTAAGTGACAATGCTTTTTTAGTAAGTCCATATTTGACACATAAACTAGAGAAACAAACAAGGGTAACAAACACTGTACTGAGTGGTAACAAACCACTCAGTACAACTGGAGTTTCCAAACTATCATAGAAACATAAGTGAGATTAAACAAAACACTAGAATTTAAAGAAACAAAGCAAAAAAATTTAATATTCTGTCATCTAACCTTTCTTAAGTCACCAGAGAATATGAAAATCTATAACTCTGACTTTCTTAATTTTTATTCTAAGTTGTTTCTTGATACATTCTGAACCTATTTTTTCCTTTGATCAACTATACCATACAAATTTCAGTTCCACATATTTTTAGTTTAAGACTTACTGTTGTAATTTTATTAAAAATAAGCACTATATAAAACTAAATGAAAGACTTTAAAGACATGTATGAATCTTACCAGTCAATTAAATGGCAGAGTAACAGAAATCTAGGGTCACCAGGGTCTATGAGTAGCCACAGGTCACAAGAAAGGTGCCCAGATAGAGGGAGGAAAGGTGGTTACCAGAAGTCAGCAGGTAGCAAGCTGAGAATCCAGGTGGGCAAGAGAAAAGTCAAAGCATATGTAATCATCAGGGCCAGTGGATAAGAATCTGGGATGGAGAGAGAGGAAAACCAACATAAGAAACTTGGAGAAGGGCACCATAAGGTGAACCAGATATAGAAGCAAAGTGGGAGACACTGATGATATATTTTGTGGGTGACCTGAGCCTTAGCTTCCTAAATAGAATAAAGAATGAGATAGCAACTGAAACAAGTTTCTGCAATTTAATATACTTTAATAATCATACCATAACTTGATAAAGATTAATAATATTGCTAAAAGTGCTACTCAGGCACAAAGGACCAGGAAGAAAAAAGAGGCATTAATTCTATATTTATATTTACTGAGTTATTTAATATCATTCTTTTAAATACTTAGAACTTTCTCTCATCTGGCTTTGGAGCTTGATGCTGCAAAATGTGAAGACAACATTAAATATTTTTTGGAAGGTAGGACTTACAATATTATTAAACGTAGAGGTTCCCAAACATTTCAGACTGTTATTATATTAACTTCTATTAATTCACCCCATATAGTTACAAAATTCTATCTTCTCATCACAAATCAGCAGAACTCTAGGGTAGCATCCCACCATCCTCAAAGTCTTAAGCATTGACTCGAGGTTGCTTGAGCCGACCCTGCCCACATGGTCAGCAACTCTGAGTCTCTGCTGCTGACCCTCCAAACACTGTCCTCAAACCTTGTTCATAATAATAAACAAGCAGATAACAATTGTAAATAGCTATTTCATTTAGTCCTAACAAGCCTGGGAGGGGAAATACTTAATATTCCTTTAGTGAATGAGGAAATCAAAGCACAGTGATGACATGGCTTAACCAAAATAACACAGCTAATAAATAAGAAAACTGGTTTTCAAAGAGAGGTGGTATAATTATGAGACATCATGCTCTTTCCTCAAAACACTCCCAATCAAACAGATCTAACTAACCCAAATGTCTGGTTAAGAAAGAAAGAAAGTCACATGAAGAATTCAAGATCTTCTGACTCAAGACCAGAGTTTGGGGTTGTAGTTATCCAAGATGATCTATCACCTTGATAATCATTTTATGATACGTTAAGTGTATCAAATCAATACATTGTACACCTTAAATTTACACCATATGTCAACTATACCTCAATAAAGCTGGAAAAAGGTGACCTATCACCTTTGAACTTTTTTTTTTTTACAAACCCCACCCTCCTACTTTACTTTTTCTTACCTCTACTAAATCTGTTCTTCATCTATATCATGGCCTCCAGATCTCAAATATTACCTCTTTTCTCAGAACACCACTTCTATTCTTGCTTTATATGCCTCTTCTCAGAGATCCTAGCTTCCATCCCAGAACTGCCCCCGCCCCCACCCCCCGAGTCCCTTGACCTTGTACAATTATTAGTTCTGGATAAATAATCAAAATATTAGAAATATACGAGGGCTTCCCTGGTGGCACAGTGGTTGAGAGTCCGCCTGCCGATGCAGGGGACACGGGTTCGTGCCCCGGTCCGGGAAGACCCCACATGCCGCGGAGCGGCTGGGCCCGTGAGCCATGGCCGCTGGGCCTGCGCTCCGCAACGGGAGAGGCCACAACAGTGAGAGGCCTGCGTACCGCAAAAAAAAAAAAAAGAAATATACGAGTACCATATTTCTCAATGCTAAAATGTGATTTAGTTCTAGTAAAGTAAAAGTATCCCAAATCATACAGATTTCTATGAGATATTCTGAAAATGACACTTCTGTGATTATTTATAAGTTACTTCAATTCTAAATCAACTTAGGTTTTCATTTCTTAACTGCATAGTATAAGCCCTTATTTTTATTTTGAATCTAAAAGTATTCTCTTCTATTAAACTAGGGAACAGCAAACAACAGTTCATAGGTCAAATCTGGCCTACCACTTGTTTTTATACAACCCATGAGTTATGAATAGTTTTACCATTTTTAATGGTTGGGAAAAAATAAAAGAATATCTGTGACATGTGAAAATTATACAACTATACTCCAATAAAATTTAATTTAAAAATCATGTGTCCATTGCTAACAGATAATAAATAAGTGGAGTGCTTTATTATAATAGAATGTTTTAAAAAAATATATAGGAAATGATGGAATTAGAAAGACAGCCATTTTGCAACCATTAAAGACCGAGTCAGGCAAGACTCATCAATAGATACTAAATTTGTGGGGTGCAACGAAGAGAACAAGATATATACATAATCTCAAAGTATCTCAAAGTATCTCTCCACAAATTATTAATTACAAAGGAAAATATAACTTTGCAGTGAATAAGGCTGGCAGCCACTACCTTACACAAGGGAAAAAATTAACATCATGAATAGTGAGACAAACCAATAAAATGCACCTTCAGAGATAATACACTGAGAAGGACACAACATCACTTATCTAATTTTCCTGCCAAAAATGCATAATAACCGGTTTCACATCATAAAGAGACATCAGAAAAGTCCAAATTGAGGGATATTCTCTAAAAGACTGAGGAACTATTCTAGAGTAAAGATGACTAAAAAGACATAACTAAGTGAAATACATGATCCTGTATTGGACTTATTCCAGGAAAAAAATGCATTACTAGGACAACTGATAAAATTGCAATATGGACATTAGATTAGTTTGACAGTATTGTATCGCTGTTAGGTTTTCTGAATTTCATAATTGTACTCTAGGTATATTAAAGAGAATATCTTTGTTCTTAGAAACTACGTTGTGAAGTATTACTGGATAAAGAGACATAATACATGCACTCCACTTTTTCCAATGGCTCAGGAAAAATTACATATATGTATATGAGTGTGTACATATACACACACATACATGTGTGTGTTTAAGAGAATAAAGCAAATGTGGCAAATGGTAAAACTTTTTTGAGTAAAGGGTATCATGTGAGTTCTTTGTTATTACACTCTTTCAATAAGTCTGAAATCATGCCCTCCACAATTTTTAAAAAATCATATCAACCTTGTACACAGTATGATATTCATTTCTCTTCTAAGTTGAACTGTAAGTTGGAGGTTTGGCTTAGGCTCCACTTTCTCTTTGACACCATGTTCTCTGTCCCCACAGGGCTAGTGACTAGTAATCTGAGGCAGGCACATGTCTGAAGGGGCATAAAAAAATAGAAACACAAGCTCTGGACATCAGAGGCTAAGATCTAAAAAATCCATGCGTGTTTGCAAAACTTCCAAGCCCTTCCCTGATGACATTAGAATGGCATTGCTCCATGTACCTCATGTCCTGAGCTTCCCCCAGATAATCCCACATGACTTTCCCAACTCACGGATTTTCCATTTGGTCACCCACTCAACCTTCAGCAGAGCCATATCTTTTGCAGAGCTAAAAATAGCCATTCTATCAAGTGGGAAGTTAAATAAAGTACTATTTACAGTTAGGAAGATAACTTCCCTAAGGCTATTTTTTTCAATGATGACAATGCATCAGCAAATCAAGGATCTGGACCCAAAAAAAGGCATGAAACTTTATCATTAATTCTAAGCTCAGTGGGTAGGATTGCCAGCTCTGGAGTCAGATTGCTTGGATTCAAATCCTGAATTTGTCCAGCTGCATAACTCTGGGCAAGCTGCTTAACCTTCCCAAACCTGTTTCTACATCTATAACAGTTGATAATAGTGCCTACCCAGAGATGAACCTCACAGACATGTTGAGCAAAAGCCAGAAACAGCAGAGTACATAATATGTGATTCCACTTGCATGAAGTTCAAGAACAAGCAAAACTATGGTGTTAGAGGTCAAAATAGTGGCTACCTTTGTGGGGGAAGGGTACTGACCGAGAAGGAGCACAAGGGAGCCTTCTGGGTGATGGAAATGAAATTTCCCTTACTCTGGGTGGTGTTTACACAGATCTGTAAACATTCGTTAAAGGTGTACATCTGTTATATCTCAACAAAAAAGTAATTAAAAAGAAAACATGATACCAAATGGAATTGTTGTGAGCATTAAATGAGAAAACATATGCAAAGTGTCTAGTACCTGACAAGCATTCAATATGTCAGTGTTATTACAACTACTTATTACAGGGAATTCCCTGGTGGTCCAATGGTTAGGACTCGGCTCTTTCACTGCCGAGGGCCGGGAATTTCAAGGAACTAAGATCCCACAAGCTGTAATGCATGGCCAAAAAAAACACAAAAAAACAAAAAACTACTTATTACAATAATAGAATTGTTATCTAAGAGATGAATCTTTTCACCATTCTTCAGTTCTTAACAGTTTTTCACACCATTTCAAACTTCCTTCTTTTGCCTTTGCAGCTCTATATTGCTCTTTGTATTTAGATAAAGTAATTACAGCTGACCCTTGAACAATGCAGGGGTTAAGGGTGCTGACCCTCCACGCAATGGAAAGTCCTGGTAAAAAAAATCCCACTGTTAGGGGCTTCCCTGGTGGCGCAGTGGTTGAGAGTCCGCCTGCTGATGCAGGGGACACGGGTTCGTGCCCCGGTCCGGGAGGATCCCACATGCCGCGGAGCGGCTGGGCCTGTGAGCCATGGCCACTGAGCCTGCGCGTCCGGAGCCTATGCTTCGCAATGGGAGAGGCCACAACAGTGAGAGGCCCGTGTACCACAAAAAAAAAAAAAAAAAAAAAAAACCCACCGTGTGAACAGTTCCCCATATTCACAGTTCCACACCCATAGATTCAACCAACCTTGGAATGCATTACACTGTAATATTTACTATTGAAAAAAATCTGAGTGGACCCACACAGTTCAAACCTGTGTGGTTAAAGAGACAACTGTATATGTTCAGATATTTTTGAAGAGCATTTTTTTTTTTTTTTTT